CCCTGCCCTGCCCGGCTCTCCGCGGGCTGTGCGCGGGGCCCGCCGCGCCCTCCGGGGCTGCGAGAGGGGCGCTGGAGCCTCCACCGGGCTGAGGAAGCGGCTGAGGGCGGCCTCGCCGTGCGGGGAAGGTGCGCGGGGTGTCCCTTCCCGTCCCTTCCCGTCCCGTCCCGTCCCGTCCCGGCCGGGCGGTGACCTCTTTCCCCGGCCCCGAGGCGCCGCTGAGGGCTTGTCCTTCTCCCCGCCCTTCCCGCGGCCGCGGGGGTTGGGGCCTGGCCCCGCTGCGGGGTTCCCGGCCTGGTGCCGGTTCTCTGGGCCCGGGCCCGCCAGGCGCAGGCCCGGATGTGTTTTATTTTTGTGTGTATTATTTTTAGCTCGTCCTCTCGGAGCCCAGCGCTGTCAGGTGGCTGCGGCGGGCAGGGAGAAAGGGCACCTCGGCTCCTTCCCCCTTCCTGCGCCAGGGGAGGTGTGGGTTGGACATTAGGGAGAAATTATTCACAGAACGGGTGATTAGACATCGGAATGGGCTGCCCTGGGAGGTGGTGGAGTCACCGTTCCTCGAGGTGTTAAAGCTAAAGCTGGACGTGGCGTTGGGTGCCGTGGTCTGGCTGACAAGGTGATGTTTGTTCTAAGGTTGCACTCGGTGATCTTGGAGGTCTTTAACAATTTAATTGATTCTGTGATTCTTTCTCCGCAGGGTCCCCCGGGCTGTGCCCCCCTTAGGGACTGAGCAGTCAGGGGAGGCGYTCAGGGCTGGGGTGTCCCATTAAGTCGCTCACTGAACTGGTGAGTTGGGTTGGTTCCTTTCYTGTAGCTCGCACATACTGGGGTGGCTGAAAACTTGTGCTGTTCCTGTCATCAGAGGAACTAATTCTCCTYTGGTATTTGTTTACACGTTGGAATGTGTATTTCTACATTTGGAGCTGTGTCATACCTGTTAGTGTTTGATAAAGTAATGGCTTCACTTCCACGTTCCTAAAGAGGTGAAGAAGAAAGAGGGACAGGGTATGTTGTGGTTATTTATGCCAACATTCACGACCTGTTTCAGTTGTGCTGTATAACAGTTTCAGTGTTGCTGACTGGTGGAACTGGAGCACAGGCTGTAGGGTCTCATGTCAGACACGAACTGGGTGTATTGGGACAGATTAAATCACTTCCATTTTGAAGTCCAGCAGAAGAGCACAGACTAATTATAAACCTGACTTCAGGCTAGGCTTGGTTTTTAAGTTGATATGGTTCTAAAAATAGACATCTTGGATTTATCACAGGTCTGTGTCATTTCTGAATTAGTCATAGAACTGCTCTTACAGTAATCAAATGCATAAGCAGTTCTGCTTTGTCAGAGTGAATTTCACTGCAAGTGACTGTTACACATGTGTGGAGATGTTCGAAAACTATTTCTGTGTTCTAGTGAGAGACATTTGGCGACACTTTCAAAACTTCAATGCTATTTTCTGGTGCCATTCCTTTTATTAACTCTCCAGTGAAACTCTTTGGTGTAAGAATCAGTAGGATATAGAATCAGTTCAGTAGACTGCCTTTTTTTAAAGTGTCTTGTTATCACTGCTGATTTTAAAATACAGATTATTATCTTAACATTTGATCTGTATGCTAATCCCAGTGAATCCACCCATACTCAGTTTTAAAAAGAAGCAAAGTAATTCTGTATCTGAAGCACAAAGCTTTGAAGCTTTATATCATATAATCTAAATTATACAATGGGAAATAATTGCAATTGATAATTGAAATACASTGGCAGGTAAGGTAACATCAGACAAAAAGAAAGGTGTGAGTTTTGTTTTTTTTCTTAATTCCACTAACCATTAATAAGAGAAGCAGAGTTACCAAGCTGTATGTGGAATATAGTTAAAAGAGCATATTCTGCTTTTTTTTTACTTTATAACTTTGCAAGGGAATTACTAAGTTAACTAAACTCCCTCCTCCCATGCACATTGACCTTACATTTTGATTGAAGCTCTGCCTTTGAATTCAGATGGAATTTATGCTGTTATTTTCCTCCCCCACTCTTTCTTCCTGAACTTGAATGAGTTTTTCTGGTAACTCAGGGATCTCAGATYAGGTTAAAGGTGAAACCTCCTCTTGAATCCTCACTGCAAAAAGTGGAGCAGAACCTCCTGGCAGTCTTTGCTAGCAGGAATGGAACTGTAATTTTTGCTAGAAGCCAACCATTGAAATAATARTTCTTATAATCACTGCCTTGGGCCTTGTTCCTCTGTAGTACTTTTCTAAAAAAGAATATTAATGTCTGAGCACTTAGCAGATCTAAGGTGGATGGAGCCTGGAGAAGGGAACAGAGACAACGTCAGTGCAGAGGTAGATCTGCTGATGACAGAACTGAAACCCTGCCAACTGATACCCAATGTTTCTGTTGGTTTAAAACTTGAAAAGTTGAAATCTTTGCTCTCTTTGCTTCAAGCACTGCTTCAGAAGATTGTGTTACACAAACACCTTTCTTTGATGGAAACCTTGCTCGTTTTCAGCCTGGCCTAGGAGCAGGTGTGGATTTGGGGAAGATCCTGCCTGCTGTAGTTCCAYGGTGATGGTTGTGTTCTTATTAAGCAGCTCTGCAGTTCTGCTTGATTTGAGTGCATGACCAAAAGTCTGTCAGTAAATGACACTCATTAGAGAAAGCCAAGTGTCACCTTARACACTGCTAACGGTGCTTGTACGTTTCTGAAGTGTGGTGGTTTGTGCTTTTTTGGCTTACAGGAAGTTTATCTTAATGTAGGGGTTGGGTTTTGGTTTGTTTTTTTGTCTGCTAGAGTTCAGTTGAATGATTTAAAATGTCATTGGGTGGCTGTGGGGGAATAGGTCTGTCAAAGAACCCTTCCAAATCTATTTCTCATCTAAAATGAACCAGTTCTCTCTGTGTTTGCTGARTGGCTTGGATCATATTTTAGTGCTGAGGCTTAAAGGTTAGAATGTAAGATTTATCCTGACAGTGAAAGCATGTATTCCATGTTAGTGCATCTCTGGGAATACAGCCTGATCTGATGGATGGGTCAAGATTGAGTGCTCAGGGTTGTATTGACTGCTATTTTAGCACAGTTTACAAATCTAGATTCTCCTTAAATTCCCTGTAACATTCTGTACRTTCTCTCCCAGGATTCTCATTGCACATCCATAGATTTGGGTCTGTGGGGTCATTGTAAAAAAAGAAAGATCAGGCTGACACTCAGTGTCATATTTGGCAGTGTCCTGCTGTCTTCTCCTCGTCTGCCCTCTCAGACCAATTAACAAGTTTGCCAGCAGAGTAACACCTTTTATACATCTCACAGCAATTTTCCAGGATTTTCTCAACTGCACCATGCCACTGTGCTGTCCTAATAAATCACCTTCTCGGGGAATCTTCTTCCACCTTTTTTGGGAATGTAAAAAAACTGGATGACAGATGAAACTAGGGTAAACTCATCTCAAAGCAAAGGCTCTTTTGAGATTGGAGGAACTGAAGTTAAGCTGTTACAAGACACTGTCATGAAGTCTGGCAGCTGTGCAGAGCTGCTTTTGATCACATCCTAAAAGAAATGCTGAAAGCTCCTCCTTGCTGCATGATAATGTGCATTAAACTTTGGCTTGAGTCAGGCCATTTTGAAGGTTAGTGGGCTCGCTGATAGTTGATCTAAATAGAACAGAAACTTCAGTTTTCATGGGGATTTGTTCCCTAATCAGGATTGAGACCTTCAAGGATTTTTGGATGTGGTTTAGTGCAGCTATGACAAACTGACTTTCAGTAACACAATGAACATGGAGTTTTTTGTGAAGATAATTATTCTTTCTATTTAACACTAGCAAAGACTGAAGTGAATAGGTTGCATCCAAAAGATGTGACTTTGATGCCTAACTGTGAAGATAAATAGTTTGAGAATTTCAGCAGTCAGGTACTTGCATGACACTGTGATGCTTCCTAGGGTATCTTCTGGAAAATAGGAAGATTTCTGAAATAATGAACAAGCAGGGTGATATTCTGAATATATTTCTTTTCATACCTTGGCAACAAAAGCATTTGATGATCTTAAGTATTTCTTGTGTGCATGYATATATAAATCCACCTCTTCAGTTGCAAAATTGGTATCCTTTGTGTTCATATAAATCCAAGTGTTAATTTTTTTTTTTTTGGAAGAATGTCAGTGTCTGGAAAAGAGGTAATAGATAATGTATAATTGTTTTTATATGAGGGTTTTAACTGTTCCATGGATTAGTAACAATAGCTTATGGCTCTTCAGGAGAAAATGAGTTCTTCATGGTAGCCCACAGCGTAATAGGTTTTCATCATCATAAAAATCCATCATTTCACTTAGTATTTCCTTTTGTGTGTGTGTGTGGATACTGCTAACCCATAAAAACAAAGTAATTATATCTAATGGCAATTTTGTCCTTTTTTGCCCTTCTTCCTGTGATAAAAATCTTTTGGGTAGAGTAGAACAATGTTCAGTGACCTGATTTAACTGTTTAAAAAAGTTACTCTGAGAATACAGATAAAAACCTGCAGTAAATTAATCTGTGAATGCAAGTGGTGCTTGTCAGATGTGTGAGTGGATATCTACTGAACTTTCAGAAACAAGGAATTAAACAGCAAAACAAACAGATCTCTATCCAGCAGGGAATACACATGGATAATAAATGGGACAGCTTGTACCTGCAGTAGGGAGTGAAAAMTTGTTCAGACAAGTTCCCTCCCCCAATGTGAGCAGACCTTGCATGAATTTATGTAACTGAAACAAGTTCTTGGAAAAACACTCAACTTTTTGAGGRATGGTGAATATTCACTTGTATTCTTCTATGCTCTTGACAGCTGTTAAATACCAGATAAAATTGTGAGACGCCTGATTTTTGCAATTCCATCCATGGATGTATCTCATCCAGATCCCTTTTTGAAATCTGAGGAATCCTGTTCTGGGGCTGGAGAAACAGCTCATCTGTGGCACAATGAGGTTGGAACAGCAAGAGAAACAAAGGGAGGTTTTTGCAATAAGCAGTCCATGTCARTCATGTATAAAGTCATTATTGTTTAATTTGTCTTCAGATTTTACTGTTCACAAGCTCAGATGAGATATTCACAGTATTTGTAGTCATCCAAGTTCTTCTCTGTGCTGACTGTAATCAATAACAAATTTCACTTGTGTAATTATAGCTAAACAATTATACATCTGCCCTGGACAAAAAATACCTGTTCTTCTGTTTAAACAGCCTGAAGATCTTTAAGCAGTGCAGGGCATAATGAGGAATATGGTTTGAAGAAATATCTTGACATGTTTTTAACCTGGTCGTACTCTCAGGAAGTGATATTGATTGCTGTAGCAGYTTCTGCTGTTTCTTATCATTTCACTCTTTTCACTTCTTACTAAAATGTCAATAAATTACACAGACATGCAAATGCCTGGTGTCTGGAGCTTGCTAGGAGGAAAAAAAACCTCCTCTAGTGCATTAAATACTCCAAACAAATCTAAAAATTAAAATGGTTCATATCTTTCTTTTTATCTTTATTCCTAACTTGGACATCAGGTCTTTAAACTCAATTATGTCATATAAAATACTTTTAAAAGAATCCAATGAACAGAAAATGTAGCAGGCTGGAACAAGAGGTTTTTATCAACTGTAAGGTGACCTTTTTTCCACATAATTTCTGAGCCTGAGCAGTGATCCTTCCATGTTGGGTATGATGAGCTGGACTGGGTGGAGAACTTCCAAAACAGWGCTTCAGTTACTGGAACAATAATTTTCCATTGAGTTAACATAGCTGGTGACACACCCTGAGTGGAAACATGACTTCAGCTTATATAAAACCAAAGATGCAGTGCTCAGAATTCCAATGGGTRGAAAGTAGGCACTGAACAGAATCACAGCTTGATGCATGTGCAAAAATACAGAATATTCCTAGGTAGTTTTAATGTTAATAATCACAAGGTGTCTATATGAGGTTTGGGGTTGTCCTTTCCAGGCTTTTTCTGGATGGGAGTTGTTCAGGAACCTTGTGCTGCTGCTTGTGAGGAGTGTCAAGATTTTTTTAAATATCACATAAAATCTTTGGTTTCAGGAAAATCRATTCCATAAGAACTTGAAGGGAAAACCACTTGTGGAAGCACCTTASTCTTTAAAATATTCACTTAATAGATTATTTTCAGTAAGGGTTTTGAAATTACACCTGTAGTCATTCCATGTTTACTTGACTAATGTGCTAAGAAAGCTCTGCTTTCTAGGCCTTAAAACTCAGGTTGATCTGTGCCTTGTCATTTTTGGAACCTGTCAGTCACCAGCATTTGTAATTGTGTGTTTGTTTTCTCTTTTCTCACACACCCTAAGGACAATATATTTTCCAAGTTCTTCAAGTATTCTTGCACAACGAGGAAAAAGAAGAAACATTTCAGTGAATGAGGAGTTTTTTGCTTCTATAGTGTTTTCCTTGAGAAGTGGCTCTTTGAATGAGGATGACAATGGAAGAGATGAAGAATGAAGCAGAGACCACTTCTATGGTTTCCATGCCTCTCTATGCTGTTATGTACCCTGTCTTTAATGAGGTGAGCTCCAGTTTTTTACTTTGGAACACCATAATCACCTTGATTTTGGGAAATGTAGGCACAGTAACAGGTTGTTCAACATAATTGTGAAAGCTTTGTCTAACACTTCTCTCTCTGCATTGTTCCACCTYTCTTGCCATGAATTGTATTTCATGTTCATCAAAGGCTGCTGGTTTTCTTGGCTCTGAGCTTTTCTCTTACCTTTTGTAGAGGATTTTCACAAAAATGCCAGGTCTTGTGTTCTGTGGCAAAAAGGAGCACACAGTCAAAGCTGTGAACAGCTCGATGCATTTAATTTTACTGCTAATGGTTATAATTTAGTAAGATACTTGTTTTTCTGTGAATATCAGAGATTGTCAAGATGTTCTCAAAAGCTTCTGTCAGACTTTTGCTGCAAAATACATCCAGTGATATGTTTGATTTTTGTTTTCATTTGGGGGAGAAGTCTTCCCTTTGGGATTAACTTTGTAATGTCTCTGAAGTGAGACCAGCAATTTGAAAGCTTCTGTCAATTCTCCTTTCCATTCTTCTTTATAGGGCAAGGTGTGATTACTTGACTTGTTTTGTTCTGATAACAACAGAATTGCTAATCATTAATTCTAAACTTCTATTGCAGCTAGAAAGAGTAAATCTGTCTGCAGCTCAGACACTGAGAGCAGCTTTTATTAAGGTGAGAAGTAACTTGCATTGAAAAACGGTTGTTTCAAAAGTAAGCCATGTATGATGAAGCTCAAAGGTCAGCTTTCTTGTTTCTTTGGTTTTTTTATCTAAGACTTGATCCTGCAGTCTAAAAATAAAGTGGACAATTGCACAAGCTGTGAGTTTGAGATGTCTGGAGATGTCATGAGTAGAAATCTGAACAATTTTAAACAAACAAGACACTTCCTCTGTCCATATAGAACAAAAACTTAAATGAAGAAGCAATGTAAATAATACAGTCTAAGACCCACAAGATCTGTAGAATAGGTGCTCATGAGCAATAAGCACATAGCAGACTTTGCAAGTGGTTTACAAAGTGAGTGCTAATGATTTTTTTTTGTAGATGAGGGTGCGTGAGTTCAACGTTCATGTAGAAATCCAGCAGTAAAAGGAAAAAAAGATTCCTCTAATTTTCCATTCTATTCCTAAAGAATGAAAATACAGATATTCCTTTATACTGCTTTATTGAAGTGGTGATATCCTGTAATTGTTAAAATAATTGCAGCATGACATGTCTGAGCTGTGCAAYTGTGTAATACTTGCCCATTTCTGCTCTTTAATCTGAGTGTACCTTGATRGTCTTAAGTCTCAAACAGAGCTCTCAAATAGAGCAAGTGTAAGTTGTTTTTGTGTGTTTTTATGATAAATGTTGAAGAGCTAAGCTKGATGCAAATAATGTTAAACTGAGATTTTGGTAAAAAAGGTAGTGCTGGCTAAAAATCCCCCACCAGGCTCATTTTTATTCCACACAGAGCAGGTTTTTGGTAGCAGCGCCGGTAGCGTGAGCACCTTCAGTGTTAGTCCAGCTTTTACTTAGATATGTCATCAATCAAAAGCTGGGKTTTTTTTCTGAAAGAGCAATTCCCAGATGATGTCTGAGCATATGATGTGATTCATGAGAGGCACATTTGTAAAATGTCATGTGGAAGGTGGGGGAGTAGCACCTGTGTTGGAGTGAATTAAATTCCAGGGGATACAATATCTGTCTCAAAGCTTAATGTTTATGAAAATATAACAGGATAGAGGCATTTATTAAATCCTTTCTTATTCAAATTAAAATGAATGCAAGGGCTTATTGGAGAAGTTGTTTATACAAAATCAGTGATGCAGTCCAAGAAAAATGAATTTTTTAGTGGAAAAATGGTTTTTAATGTAACCTGCTGGTCTAGAGCTATTAGATTTTCAAAGTTTCTAGCAAACTGCTGCTTATATGAAACTCTGTGCTTGCAATGTCCAGGTCTTGCATATTTAAGACTATGAATTTTCTATGCTATACAGGCTGAAAAAGAAAATCCAGGTCTTACACAGGACATCATCATGAAAATTCTGGAGAAAAAAAGTGTGGATGTGAATTTCACAGAGTCTCTTCTGCGTATGGCAGCTGATGATGTAGAAGGTAATWGATCTTATTCTAAACAATTGTATTTTTAATTACACTCTTAACTAGGAACGTGCAATTCTCTCTTTGTTTTTTCCAGGAGAGATTATTTGTTTCTTAATGGAATGTTTTCAGCATAGTGGAATATTTGTATATGTTATTACCACTATTGGAGAAATTAAATCTCACTGAAAACCGTACTTGACTAATAAGAGAAAGAAAGAAAAAAAAGAACATTTAGAACTCTGTTTTTATGGGTGCATAGTTCACCTTTTGCAATGTTAACAACCAGGAAAATGCAAATCTGGAGTATAACATCCTCYTCTTTTTCCCTGCTACAAATTAAAAGCAGTAGTTACACTGTCACAGAAKGACAATATACTGTGGGCTTTATATCATTTTAATACTGAATTTGATTACTTTAATGTGTCAAATAAAGTAACATGGGCTCRTTTGCCACCTTTTTCCATAAAGGTGATTATTGCAGTGCTCTGATTCACACAGGGTTTGTTCATTGCAGTTCTGTGGTCATGGCTATTTCTGTGCTCTTCACCTTCAAATACCCCACAGCAATGCTTTTTTTGTGCAGTGCTTTTAACTGTCACTACAGACTTGAGGACAAACTAATGGTGGTTGTGAATATGTTCTTTTTGTCAGAGTACATGATTGAAAGACCTGAACCAGAATTCCAAGATCTCAATGAAAAGGCACGAGCACTTAAACAGATTCTTAGTAAGATTCCAGATGAGATCAACGACAGAGTGAGGTTTCTTCAGACAATCAAGTGAGTACAATATGATGGATTTTTCTGCAGATTGACAGGTCAGACTGCTTGTATTTAGGCCTGAATGTTGAAATGCTGTAGGAGATRTAGCAGCATGTCCCATTGCAAGAGAGCCTGATCTCACTAAAAATGATGAGAATGTTACTTGACCAAAGTTGCTGATTCCTAGGCTGAATTCCCAGGACAATGCTCTGGCTCTCTGCATTTGCTCTCCTCCATCATGTCTGACWCTTACTCTGCAGAGACTTTTTCAAGAAGTATTTGACTGCTAGAAAGGGATTAAATTCCAGCATTTCATGGGATCTCCTAAGCATATTAAAATTCTCTTTTTCTTGCCCAACAGGGACATTGCAAGTGCAATAAAGGAGCTTCTTGACACAGTAAATAATGTCTTCAAAAAATACCAGTACCAGAACCGGCGGGTACGTGCCCCAACTCTCTTCAAACTGATTTCTAACAGTAAAAGAGGAGGCATCCTTTGGATCAAAGGATGAACAGGAGATTGTAGCTGGTCAATGACACCATGCTTTAATAAAAAAATCGTTGTATGATAGTTCTCAGGAGTTTTATAGAAATAAAATGATTTCTCTTTGTTTCTTCTAAAGGAAAAAGTATCAGARCTTTTATTCCTGTTGTAACATTGATCAATTTTATAATCAATTTAACYTCAAGGTTGTCACTGTACCCAGCAATTTTTGAACTAAGACTCTGCTCCTGGTGTTTTTGTTTTCTTAGGCACTTGAGCACCAAAAGAAAGAGTTTGTAAAATACTCCAAAAGCTTCAGTGATACTCTGAAAACCTATTTTAAAGATGGAAAGTAAGTATGCTTTTGTCCTGTAGTTTTTGTCCTGCTGTTTTCACAATTTGCATAATGAAAGGCTGTGGTGACTGACAGGAAAATAGGACAAGCTTTGGGGTGTAAGGTACCTTTTTTAGGACTTGCCTAATTATTTCCTCACCTATGTYCTCCATGATTATCATGGCTGCTTTAAAATGCTATTTCTTTTGTAATGCCTTTGAATAAAGGGAAGTTTGTTAAAAACACACTATACAACACCCATGTGCAGTGTTAGTTTTGAATTTGAATATGAGCAGTTAAATTTCCTGTTCCTGTGTGATTTTTCTCAGTGTATATACAAGGACAAAGAAATTATGGATTCTTTTTATTGAGAAAAGTAATTTACCTATTTGAAGCTTCATTTGCAAACACCAAACATCTGTGCAGTGTTCTCTTTGATTTACATTTTTATTGGCCTTTCTTTATAGACCCATACAGTGCTCTGCAGTATCTGGAATGATTCAGCTGAATCTTTTTCCAGCTGAATATTTCAGCCTTTGAACTGAGGCCTCTTCAGGTCTTCACCTTGGGTTTTGAAGTCACTATTCCTGTAAAATTCACTGTAGTGATTCTTTTGGAAGAGGAGCATATTSCCCTCAGATTGTGATGGTGCCAAAGTGTTCTGTTTTAAAGATGAGAAGGAGCTTTCATGTCAGCTCTTGTTGAGCTTGGCACAGCCTGAGAGCACCCAGGAGATGGTGCATTACTAAAGGAGAGAGAAGTCTTGAGACCAGCTGGGAATGTGATCSTGCTCCCATCAAAGCATTCTTGGTTTTCTCTCCTCTTACAGAAATTGGGGCTAAATTTGGTGATGACACCAAAAKGACAAGTTTTGACCTTGGTAGCTTTGATTCCTGGGCAGAAATACTGTGTGTTATGGGATTRAGCTTAAAGTGTTTTGATTATTTTCAGTATTGTAAGAAATTCCATCAGGCTGGTATTTCCTATCCTTGGGAAATCAGGAATAATTCCMATCTGCCTGAACTGCACATTGAGTGAGATCCCTGCTCCCCCCAGAAAGTGAACACAGGCCAAGCTCAGACGTCATTTCTGAGCTGAAAAACCCCATGACCCCACACCTTTCCTAACAAAAGGATGACTAAAATTAGTGCTGCTGTCACATGTGCACGTTCAGTATTCCTTGAGGAAGGAGTTGCCAATTCTGAGGTTTCTGGGGGGTGAAGTGCTTGGCTTTGGAAAGGTTTAACAATCACAGAGTGAGAAAATGGCTGGGCTGGAAGCGACCTTAACATCATCTGGTTATCCAAGCCCCAGTCATCTGCTCCATGGTTTTTCCTTCATTTTCTAAACCTTAGAACGAAAGGATTGAGATGTCAGCGATGATTGAGAGCCAAATTCTTTTAAATTGCTGCCAAATAACCAGAGCCTTTCTGGGATTAGCTATGCAAATGGGGCTGGCTGGCTGCCAGCAGGGTGCTCAGGTAGGTCAGCACAGGGTGGAACATCACTGTGCTTCCACTTTTCAAAGCCTCCATGCCAATCGTGCTGGGTTTATCCAATGTTTCTAGAATATCTGAAGCAATATTCTTCTCTTTCCACAGGGCAATAAATGTGTTCATAAGTGCCAACCGACTAATTCATCAAACCAACTTGATACTCCAGACCTTCAAAACTGTGGCCTGAAAACTGTATATGTTGAGAGTTGTACTTTTCAATGGTGGATAGGGTACCTTTATATGTAAATTTTAAAGTTTTGACTGTATAAATTATCAGCCCTTCTCAAAGGGGCCTAATGCAGGATTTTGAATGGGATTATTGCCATCTTACACCATATTTTTGTAAAACATTGTAGCTTAATCATAATCTCACAAGAAAGATTTTGCATCACTTTTTGCTATTATCATTCTTTTCAGAATTATAAGCCAAAAGAATTTACGCCTTAATGTGTCATTATGTAACATTCCTTATAAGAATTGTAAATATTTGGTGTTCTGATTCTGACATTTTAACTTGAAAGCGGAAAACTGCAAGATTATGTATTTAACAATATTGGTGGCAAATATTCAATAAATAGTTTACATCTGTTAGACTGTCTTTTTGTATGTGAACAAAAGTGCATAACTCATCTTTCTAGAACTGCAGAACATTCATTCAATAGAAAAAAAWATTCAAATTGTTTGGGTGCTTCAAGCTACTGGGAGTTCAAATCAGTGTAAAATGAGGTGTTTTCCTTAAAACTGAGATTTTGGCTGTTATCTAGACCAGAATATCAGAATAATTATATTAAAAAGTCTTTGAGAAAGTCATAAATAAACCCAGAAGTGAGATGTGCTTTTGTTTTTAATAGAAACTAGTTCTCACTTCTTTCTTAATCTTCTGTTGGTKGTGAGTTAATAGGTTTTTTACTCCTAGGCTATTCCAAGGTTTGCAGCACAGGATTATTTGAAATATATGCAGTAAAAAGGTTGAATTAAAATATTCAGATAAGTGGGTTCAATTTGTCCCCTTTGGGAGGGAGGAGGATTGGAGCTCGAACTCTTCCAGGTAGCACTAGTGATATCTATACTATGCATGCCATAAGGCAACATTTTTTCTTTCAGGGAATTGAAATCATGTGAGACCTCGATTGACAAACCTTGGCTGTGTAGGGGGTTAAGAGCTGCTGCTGGACAGGTGGAAATTTGACCTTTGTGATTTCACAGCRATGTTTCTGACCAATCTCTCGCACGCCCCTTGGAAGTGCACCTTGAGCTGATTTGGAAATAGAATAAACTTCTGGAAGTTTGTGAACTCTGTGGCCATAAGTAGGAAGTTTAGGGTATGAAGCAGCTTCTAAAGCTGCAGGAGGAGCACTCCAGGCTGAAAGAGCACAACTGCCACAGAACTATTCCTCATTTGGCTGTAAATGGTGAAGAAAAGGTACCTCCAGATTATCCTGCACACTGGCCTGGTGCTGTATTGCTCATCTGGGGCAAGTGCCTTATCCCAGGTACAACAGCTGGGTCCTTGCATTTGGTGATCTGCTGAAAGGATCGAAAAAAAAAGGGGGGAAATGCAAAGTGCAGCCTCCCAAATAGCACTGGATGTTCTGCTGTCTCTTTGTGCATGGAATTGTTTCCTCGATGAGAGCACTGACTGTAGTRAAATAGAACAATGTGAAGGAGAGTATTGTGTAAAAATGAGTTCTTTGGGAATGTATGTTGTGCAATTTTTGGTTACACATAGAGCTATAAGCAGGACGTGGTCCTCCAAGCTTGCTGTTCAGCCTGTTTTCTGTTCTGCCCGTGGTGTCTTGTGTCCTTAGCAAACTGAGCTTAGGAACGTGGCAAAAGGATGCAGAATCAATTCATAGTTAAAACTTCTTGGTATTTAAAGCTTRGCCTGCTGAACTGTCATTTCTTGGAAAGTGCTAGAAGAGAAGCAACGTTAGAGCTGACTAAATTAGAGTAATGTTTAATTTGCATCTTTGCATTCTGTAAATAAAAGGGTTGAGTAGTTTTCCTCATGGATGATGCTCACTTGAGTCATAGCTCCAAGGGCTTCATGAAGATCAGTAGTCAGGTGGAAGGAAGGGAAAGGCACCTGGAGTTTGTGATACTTCATTTGTCTTGAAAAGAGTGTTTGGTACCGGGGAGGCTGCAGCAGTGGCTGTAGGGAGAGAGAAACAGAAGATTACATTATATTTTATGAATTGGACCTGATTCCTATGATATTCTGAGGTTCCTCTGTTTTCTTGGCTTGAGCAGGACAGTTATTAGTGCTGGCAATCATTGAATGAAACCACGTTTGTGTCTGTGGATGTTAAAAATATCTATATAAAAAACCATTTTTGACTGTCCCGAACAAGCTGCTGCGTTGTGTCCTGCCAGATGTAAAATCAGGCTATTTCATCAAGAAATGAAGTGTTCCTGTTCATCAGTTCTTCCCAAAACCTTTATTGGGTAAAAGGTACCAAATACAGGGCTAAGCTTCAGGTTGTCTGGCCAATGTGTTTTGTTTTATTCATAACCTCATTGTGATTTCTATGTGTTACCCTTAAAAGTAATGGAAAATTATTCATTGTAATCAATGTCTGGTAATGGGAAAACTTGAAAACTGGTGTCTTCAGGTCACACTCTTCTGTTGTGTGCAGTGAATCCATATCTAGTGGTCTTAYAAACCTTTCTTTTCCACTGAATATGAGCTGGGACATATGTCTGTCAAATATTATTGTGGTTTTGCACTTTATTATTCAAGTTACCTGAGTAGCTAAAGATAAGTTTCTCTTGAGGATTTCTGATACGGCAGTTAGTGTTGCAAAATGCTCTTAGGAAATTTCTGCTGTGAATGTGGGTTATAACTGCTATGATAATGTTAACATACAGAAAACCAATCTAATAAACAAAATAAAACTTTGTATATTTGTTAATGAAGCAACGAACCGTCTTAATCACTTGTTTTGATTTTCCTCAGAACTGAAGAAAAGCTTAGACTGATTTGTTTGTGGCTGGAGGCTTTAATTGTGATCCACAGATTTGTGTACAAGTTTGTGAGATGTGCCAGGTGCATCTCAAGAGCGAGGTTTATCTTGAGCTGCCGTGAAGTGGTGAGTATGAAATCTCACGGCATCCTGGTGTCACAATCCTGTGTTTCCAGCCAGCAGGAGGAGATGGTGTCAGCCCTGATGGAACATTATCTGTTCATATGATCTGATCTAGATTAGTGCTCGTTCCTAATGTGCTTTTCAGATCTGGCCCTGTGTGTTGAGGGAGGCCTGGTTTGTTCTGCTGGTGTTATCTCTGCCTTTTACAGACGCTCTGCTTCYCTCACTGGGGTGGGGAAGGAGAAGAAGGTTATCGAGGCAAACTTGTCACAAATCTAAGCTTTAGATTGCTCCAGTCTGGAGGGGAAATCAAATGAATGTGACAGCATGTGCAGTGCTAATAGCTGCATTGGGCACAGCAGTGATTGTCCCTTGCCTTTGGAGGCTGTTGTGCCTGAGAATCTTGCTTTGCCGTGCTCATCTTCCCCTGGGACTCACCGGTGCCTCCTGGGGAAGGAACTGCAGCCACTTTGTGCTGGGAGCTCTGGGAACTCCTCGAGCTTTGCATAATCACCCAGGCCATTGGGGTGTTTGGTCCTTTTTCACTCCTCTCTTTGGGTTTTCCTCATGCATATCTGGGCAGATGTCGCTTTTGAAAGGGAATGGTAGGAAAAATGGTTCAGGAGCAGAGCCCAGCAGCAGCCTCAGTGCTGAAAAACAGGACTGAAAAGATGCTCCTGGGTCATTTGGCTTCTCTTACAGAAGATTAAAAAATACTGCCATAATTTTGGCCCTAAACCTGTCCAGTTCTGTTTTAAAGCCAGCCTCTTTGTCCTCATTCCTCTTGTTAGACRTCATTTTAGAACAGTCTGAAAGAGTAAAAAACCCCTTCAAATACTGAAGTTTAATGTGCTGCATAAATTTAATTTATGATGAACAATTCACTAACCTTGGCCACGACCAACTGTTCTTTTCCCCTCTCCTTCACTTATGGGATGAATTTTGTACCACCAAGGGCTTCACTTCTTAAAGATGCACAATCCCCAGGGTTTGGACCTCTGAACAGAACAAGGTGTTGGGCAATGCTAAATTTGCTCCTTTGAGGCTGAGACGGAAAAATTTGTCCTCATGCTGGGAGCACAAGTGTGAATTTTGCCACAAACATCATTGGTGAGGTGGAGGAGGAGGATTTGGCTCTCTGGAGATGTCTGGAGTGGATGTCCTTGACCTCTCTGTCTCTCCCCTGCACAGACCTTGAGATCTGAGACAAAGCAGGATGCTTCTCCCTGGGCTCCTGAGCATTTTCCCAATTATTTCTTTTGCCCCTTGTCCCCYTTCCCCCATGCAGCTGGTGAAGCAGGGTGGGCTGAGGCAGCCCATTGTCACCTCAAGGTCTCCTGCAGCTCAGGGGACACCACCAGCACTGACTCCTGGTGATCCCCTGGGATCCYTTCCCCAGTTTAACATTATTTCGTGGCTTCCTCACAAGTATTTTTGCCAGCTCTGGGCCAGTACGTGGCTTTAATGTTCATCATCGGGTCAGGAGGTGCCATGCTGTGAGCTTGGGCTGCAGGGACCCACYTGGGCACTGATTAAATGATAAAGGGTTTTATCTCTTCCCTCTGTGTGCCACTTTGCAGGGCTGCTCATCATCATGTGAGGATCAGAAAGGCTTTGCCTGGCAGCACAGGCAGCCAGGATTTGCAGCTGAGGACTCAGCCCTCCCACAGAACCTCGTGTTGTTGGGTAAAGATCGCTTTGCTCAGACAATTCCAGTGAAAAGTTGGGTTGTACTTTGCTGTTGCTGTTCCTTTGGGATTTGTTTCTCGCTGTTAAAGATTTATAAATCAGGAGGATTCCTTTGTTAAGCAGTAGCCATGGAGGGAAGCTGAGTTGTTTTTGTAGGGACTGTCAGGAACACGAGCACTGAGAGGAAGGAATGCTAAAGAGGAAAGGAAGATGAATTCTTYACACTCTAGAGACAGAAGTGCTCTACTTAGTGTATTCAAGAAGGAAAAGTGTTTTTTAGTGCTGTAATTCCGTTATTGGTGACAAGGTAAGCAAAATAGATTTTCAATTGCTGATTTCTAATGCACGCTCAGATCTGCTGTATAAACACTCGTGAATTTGCATTCGGTATCACAGTCAGAGGAGTGATTCCACCTGATGGATAGAATAATTTCAGAGAATATTTTGTACTATTTCACTGAGCTAGAAGGCATAAAACCCTATATCTACATTAGAAGTGTCTTTGACATTTTATTATTTCATAATTGTAACTACTAGACTTTCCATAGCAGGTAATTGCTTTTTTCCCCAAAGCTGCCTCAGTCTCCAAGGATAAATGATGGGTGAAATAGAAGCCTGAGTTCCTGAAGTTTTAAAGTAAAGAGAATAAAGTATGAGCTAAAAGTATAATTCACTTATTCTCCCTTCTTGCTGCTGGGTATCTCATCTCCAATAGAGCCCCAGTGAAAAATGCTGGGAAAAAAAATTAAAAGGAGACTGAGCTACAACCTTTAAGAAAATGTAGACACTTTCATGGTGAGTGAATTTCCTAATTAA